AACCCTTGGTTTCTTCATCTGGTGCTCTGAAACTCAGCCAGCAATACATACAACCAATATCCCTGAGGTGACAAAGTGCATTGTTGACTTGTAGGCAACGCATATTGGATTACTGGAGACTCCACACTGTGAAATGATTATAAACCAGTAATTAGTTGGTGATGGAGGTATAATTTGGTTCAGAATTCTGAAGTCAGATAAAATAAACTGATTAAAAATAATGCACTGTTAACTCAGTCCCTTGTGCAATTAAAAGCTCATAGAACCTGACTGAAGTAGTTAGGCCTTCTAACAGCAGGAAAAAATTGCAACCATTTAAAAATGAACTCAATTAGCAGTAGGATTGGGTCCTGGAAATTTTATTTCTTTAAAGGCATAAGGACATACTATTGCTCTTCACCCTGGAGAGCCCTCACCCACTTAAATGCAGTTTAACCTTTGGACGGTAAAACATGAATGTGCTGGAACTAAACAGTGCCTGGCACAAGTGAGCAGCTCATCAGAAGATGGTTTTTTGATGTACCAGTGCTTTGGAAAAATTCTTCCTGCAGGTGTTCTGAAATCACCTGGAGTTTTTCAGGAGCTGCTTGATTTAATTTTCAAGTTCCTGCTGTGGTCATACAGACATAATCTGGGAAGTCCCTCACGACCAATTAGCTTCTGCAGGTGTTAAGTGGCACAAGATAGCCCTATCAGATGTGTCTGGTTTTGTTGTTTTGGGGGTTTTTTTTGCCAAATCATGTGATTTCTGGATCTTTTTTTTTGTGGTTGAAGTTATTGCCATGATATTGCACTGGTTTTCATTTTGATTAATTCAGCTTTCTTAGAGGACAGAGACATAACCAATGAAAGGATGGCTCAGTAAAGCAGTATTTATGGGAGCCTTCTGATGAATTCCAGCTTTGTAGAAATGACACGTGTAACTTCAGATGTCCATAAAAATGAAGAATCACAAGACAGTTTTGACCAAGTCCTTCAGTCTGTGGGAGTGGTATGAACGGGACTCATTCCTGGGAACAGCAGGAGGTCTCTTCTGAACACAGACTGAGAGCCTGCTACTGACAATACCACACACCACAAGGCCCAGAGAAGAACTGTATGTGACAGTAGCACTGTATTCCTCACAGCTCTCCGAGCCCTACACTGAAGCAGCTACCACTGACCACCCTTTGGCAGCAGGCAGAGCTGGAGGAGATCGAAGAGCTTGCTCAAGCTAGAAGAACTGATTCCTGTGCCACCAGACCAAACAGCTGTAGACACTGCTCACTGCTTTAGAAGTCCTCTCTGAAGGCTTTTTACATTTTCAAAAAAAAAAAAAAAACCCCAAAGGTTTTGAGAAGGCTGTTTTACCACTGTATACTGCTAGCCACAACTGTTTGAAGAAGAGGACTCATTCCAAGCAACCACTGTCGGCACTCAGTGCACAGGCTGACAGCAGGAGTAGCAGAAAACAGAGGAGGAAAGAACAATTTTAAACCAATTCTTCTTTAAAATAACTTCTATGCAAAACCTAGGTACATCAGTGACAGCTGTGGTTTTCAGAGGTCTTAGAAGGCCTCAGCACATCACCTGTTTGGTGTTTCTCCAGGACCTGTAGGAATTAGGCACTGCAGAGCACCACTGCACAATTGCATTTACAAATAAATTTACCCACACTAGTACACAGAGAAGTCCTTATTCTCTGCCTTTATTCAGCTTTCTAAGGAAATGACACTGTTTGTGTATATCTCACCTGATAAATTCCAAACCTGCTGGCTATTTGCAACCAAACTGAAGGAGCAGGAGAGGTCTCAGCAAGAGTTAAAATCCTCCGTGGTTAAACAGTTGGAGAGAAGCCTTCACAGTGTTTCCATAAGGCAAAGGATGCAGTGTGAACATAGCTCTTATTAGACACAATAAAACCTGTGCAGGAGAGAGACCAAATAAATGCCCAGACCACAAGAAAAACTTCAACTGGAGCTTGGAATAACTGCACCTTGTGTTACAAATCCAAAGGTAACAAGGGTTCTTTAGTTTAGGGTTCATGAAACTATTCTTATAAGCTGAAAACAGAATTTCACTCACCTCTTTACATCAGATAGATACACAATGCTGTTTTTCTCCCAGCCTTCTTATAAAATATAATTAATTTACATTGTAAAGACCTTGATGGGTAAGTGAGATTAATAACCCAGTTACTGAGCAGTTAAGCTCATGGATCATTGCCATATAAAAACATGAACATTTTATTCATTTTTAAAATGCACTTTTTATTTGATTTAGAGGTTAATGCTCATTTCTTATGTAATTAAAGGGAGAAAAGCTAAAGCGTGACTCTGTGTTTACTAACCTTGCTAATAAGACGGGCTTTTTCAGGTAAGATGGATATATCTTAATTGGTAAAACTGTTGCATTGTCATTTAGCCAATTAATCCTTTCCAAACAAGGGAAGCAGCAGCGATTTCATTTGCAGTGAATGGAAATAAACTTGTCACGTCCTGCATATCAGTTTACACATTCTTACTTTCCCACTTAAATCAGTAAGAATGCAGCCCTTTGATTCCCAAAATAAGTTAATCCACAAATTAACATTAGAATGTATGGAAATATGGCTATATATAATATATTAATTGATCTTAGTTTGCAATCCATATGTAAACTCAATCTGCACATTCATGGGATTAATCTAGAATTGAATGCTACACTTCCTTCAAAAGAATGTGATTTGCATCTTTAGCAGAAGCGTAAGAAAGCAGATTAAAAGATGCCTTAATAAACTGTTTTCCACAGATTGTAAAAACATAGCCCTAAGGCTGAAGTTTGTACTAATGCTGTTTTAAATAGCACTGATGTTCAATGTTGCCATTTCACACAATTGCTATTGAATCCTGCTGGCTGATCCTTAAAACAGACCCTATAAAGCATCCAAGTGTTTATTAACAGGTAGTAGCAGTCTGTTAAAGACAAATATATATATACATGTCTTTCATACGTATAAATGCACTCCAAAATTTATGCTCTGCTTCAGTATATTACAGATGATAATCCAGATAAAAACAACCGTCAGAAATATTCCAGTGCACTGGGTAATGTTACACCAAAAGCACAATTTCCATTACATCATTCCTTTTTCTTCCAATTTATTTTCTGTAATACCTCAGTCCTTTTCATGAAACACTGAACAGACATAGAACTGTGAATAACCACCAGCTGCAGGTTATAATTCTTATAGTTTATATCCTATTTCTGAAAGTGATCTGTAGTCAATCAGGAGGATATTTAAGTGGCCTCATATATTAAAATCTAAGACTTCTAATTATTTAGCCAAATTTGGTATTCTTAGACACAGCTGGATTGCCTCTGACAGCTTATCACCTTGAGAAGAGTTAACTTCATATTATGAGGTATCCTGGAGGGATATAATGCACAGAGGTCTGTGCATTACTAGCTGTTAAAACAGTCCCTTTGTATTTTAGGAACAATTTATGGTAAGATAACAGCTTTTTCTTACCTTCTCTGCACACTGAAAAGCCTTAAAACACATAAAGGAGGATCACTTAAATAGAAAGGAGGTTCATTTCTTTGAAGGGTGATGTCTGCCACTGGAGAATGGAGAAACATGACTAGTTTCCATTGGGATGACCAGGAAATACTGGAGGAGAAAGGAGGAAAGAGGATACTGCTGTAGAAAAAAAAGAGATCAACTCTGGTTAATCACCATTTTTTCTGAACACTTACTCCATCTTCACTAGACATTGAAATTTAACTGATGGATTAAGAATTAATCTATGCTTGATTTAACCTAAACTGTGAATTATGAACTGTGAATGCTTTCACTGTAAACTGTGAGAATGTTTTTGTCATGGTCATGTTAAGAAACATGCTCAAGTCTTAGTGTGCCTCTTAAAAGATCAACTGCTTTCCTCAAACTTGCAGAAGAAAAAAAGCAATGTGTACATATTTAAGCAGTTGTTTGTAGTCAGAGAAGCTCTGCAGATATCCAGACCTGCATTCTGAACAATCCCTTGCTGATTAGACACTTAGCAGAAACTTAACAGCTTTTTATTTCTTGGAAGTAAGCAGAGATAGCATGTAGCTAGTATAATACAGGCTATTCTGTGGCTTTTTTTTCAGCCTACTTTCCCATTTTCTGTCTCGCTGGGCTTTTTACAGTGTGTCTACACTGATCTCCTCTCTCTGGAATAAACAACTTTTCTTAGGGCTTTTAAGTATGTCTGGAAAGAAGTATGGCTCCTAGGAATGTAGTATGCATTGCTGCATTTTCCATGCCTTTTAGTATAGAAGATATGTTCTTTTCAGCACAAATAGCCTGGACCACTCTTCAATTCACTATGGATAAAACCAATTTTGTCTGCTGTCCAGCTTGCCCACAAGAAAGTAGGAGATATCTCAGCTGAAAGGTGATATGCTGAGAAATCTCCTTTCCTAGGGAATACACCCTGAGGATTACAGGTCTCTCAGGAGGCTCTGGAGTTCATCGCCCAAACCCAAGCACCCTTTTGCCAAGAGAGCTGTGGATTGTATTAAACCCCTGAACAGCTAATGAAATCTGTTTGGACATTTTCTTTGTGGACAGTAACTGTGTTCATCTTCCCTTTCATTAAAAATCTCAAGTCTAAGATTCATAGTCAAGTCTGAGACTTAGTGACTTACCCACAAAAATTCAAGGACAGGTCATAACTAAAAAAACAGAGAATTCGGTCATGAGGACTTTTCACATTTTATTTGAAAACAGTGGGCTGTAAATTAATTACCAAACTATTTACATGGTAGTACTGTGGTTTTCTGGTCTTTCACACCTGGACAAAATGAGCAGGTACATGGCTGGGGTATGGTCACAGTGACTGTCTTTGACATATGTGGCATTACTGGTGGTTCTCTTCTCTGTGCATAACAAGTTGCTGACCCCACTGAACATAAGTACATGTAGCTAGGACATAGGAGGCCTCACGCATTAACAGGATAATTAGTGCCAAACCACGGACTTCGTAAAACTACTCTTATCCCAGAATAAGGGTTTTATTAAGTGCTTTCAGCTTCATTTTCTCCATGTGTTTTTGAACCTTCTCTCTGAGCTCGTTGTTTTGGGGTTGAAAATGTCCATCTGGATGGTTGTGCGGGTCTCTGCAAGAAGTTTAAAAAATCATTTGTATTTATAATAGCCAGGGGAGCTACTTAGGAATGCTGACAAAAACAAAGGAAGCAACACACATAATTTCTTTCATTTTTATAATGAACACAGAGGGTATTCCATTACTGATGCAGAACTGGAAAATGAGTGAAACTGCGAAAACATTCACTCTTGGCTTGGCCAATTAGGAAAGCTAACTGACTGATCGGTAAGCAGTAAACTAGATTGAATTTTACATTTTATCTATGAAGGAGCATATGCTATAATGGCCAGAACAAGAACAGCCACATGAAAAACTGCCTTAAGGATAAAATGCTGAAATGCTGCACAGGAGCAATGTGTGCTCTGTCATCTAGTGAAACACCACCCCATTGATAACAATGAAGAACCTTCCAGTGACAAAAGAAAGGACTGGGACTCCATTGTTTGTAAATAAATTTTTGCTCCCCTCTTTACAAAGCCAAAAAAATAGGGAAGCTTCCAACAAGTAAATATCAATACCTAGAGGTATTTAATATAGAAAAGTATTTTCATTTTTGAAGAAAACATCTAAAACTTCAAAAAGAAAGAACATTATGGTTATAAAACTACTTACCCAGCAAAAGCACCATCCAACACTGTATCACTGTGGAGAAAAAGGTCACTCTTTAGTTACACAAGCTATCCCAAATCCCCATGTTCTGACGAGCAGTTTCATAGAATGCAAAAAGTGGCACTGAGTCAGACACACCTGCGTTTTTACAGGAAATTATTTTCAATCAATGCTGTAGTAATGACAATACAGCAACCAGTGTTTTGTCAGAGAGCTCATAATAGGCAGCACTGTTTTAAAGTTGCACAGGATTTGAATGTCAATCAAATAATTTCCCTCTAAAAGTAAGGAAAATGAAACATTCAAATCTCTTCATGGCTCTGAAAGTTTCAGGCTATTCTGCACATCCTGACATCAAAGGCACATCATGACTACTTTTTTTAAAGAGAGGGAACTGTTGGACAGAAAGATTAATTCACCTGCTCCAAGCCACACAAGATACCTGTGAAAACACAGGGTTAGAATTCAGCACAATCTTGTGTGTTGCTCTGCAATCACTTATCCTACCCATACTGCCTGCAGCTCAAGTCCACCGCCCTCTGTGTCCCACTTCCCAGCACATACACATCCTTGCATCCTTCCTGCAACCTCACATACCCCCAAGTTTCACACAGTGCGTTCACTGCTGCTTTCAGGTCCACAGAACTGCTGGGCAGTTCTGAAATGCTGTTCTGAAACCATGGTGGTAACCATCAAGCCCATCAGAGATCCATTTGGCCCTCAGAGTTTTCCTTGTCCTCAGGTTCCCCCTCAAGGTTTCTCTGCTGAGCTGCAAACGCAGGACATTGGCCTGACAACACTGGAGGAAAAAGGCAGAATTTGGCCCTTACAGTAGCCAGGTTACAACATTTTAGGGAGTAGGTAGTTCTGTGGTTATGAATACAAGTTATTTTACATGCTGTGCTGTATGCCTAAAACACCATGTGTGTTGGGGAAGGACAGCAAATGTGACTCACTCCTAGGAAGAGACTATGAAAAAAGCACCATGCCAGGGGGAAATTCTAAGGACTCATTCTTCTGCCAGCACTAATAAATTCCTAACCTAAAGAGTCACTAAAAAGGAAATACCACTGGTCCAAGAACATTGAATATCTCTGCAAAGGCAATAAAACTGCCTCAAGTGTTAGATCATATTGATAAAACTGAAGTCAGACATCCATGCCAGTGTGTCACATCCAGAGCTGCTTTCTGAAGTCCGATCCAGAGATTGCATTTGCAGTGCAAATTTGCTCAAAGTACCAGAGCTGCATCCCACTCATGATGGAGCCTCTAGACTCAGTATAACTTTCTACATAATTCTGTTTTTGTCTTCAGATGTTTGTCTTCAGATTTGCCCCATTCCTCTCCCCTAATTTCAAATTATACCTACCTGTCATCTTTTGCTGATTTCTCTTTGCCTTCTTCTGAGAGTGCCTGCCCAATTTGTGGAAATTCAGCTCTCACCATCTCTGGAGTAAGAATCATTTTGAACTCGGTTTCATCTGTCTCACTAAAAATTAGTAAGAACAATCAGGCTTTATCCTTTTGAAAGTATTTTTTTAGCCAACAAAAAAAAATATTATGTTTTATGCTAGTGGGACTGTGTGCTTTTGCCTTTGAGGATCTCTTGGGACTCTCAGGTTTAGACATATCCATACAAGTGGTTAAGACATAATCAATCACACTGAATACAAAATAGAGGAGAAACTTACTGGTCAATTATATTCTCCCTGTCTCTCTCAAGTAAGTCACACAGCATTGGTGGTACATCTCTTGGAAGCATATCTAAACTGTAAGGATCCCTGCGATGGAAATGGTATTAGTTAAAAAGATGGACAGAGAGTAACCGCACTCAATGCTTATATTTTGAAGCTTCAGAGTAGTCGTAATTACAATGAAGATGATGTACTTTTAAATATTCCTGGAAAATCTGAGTACATCAGAAACTGCTGTGATATGAGGCAACGTGAGCCTGAGAGATGTTGGCTACCTCTGGGTACAGGTGCCCATATGTTAAAGGTTTTACCATTCATACTTCTGCAGGACAGACAGAGTTTGTACCTCCAAGGTCTTCTGGCACTGAATAAAAAAACATTCAGAAGACATGTTATCTAAAGTCCAGACTGGAACTCTCCTTCCAGGGTTAGATATTTCCTCTAATGACACTGTTCTTAACCCACTGTTCAAGGAGGTCAGTAAGGGTTTTCCCCATTGGTTTTAGATTTCTGAGCAGCAATTAATTCCACCCGTAGGCCTCCTTTTATCTGTGGGACTAGTTACTGGTCAATGTAGTTACAGACAGCAGAAACTGGTGCAGGGTAGAAGTACTGTATATTCAAATTCTTTCTTACCTAGGTGTTGTACTTGTCAGTGTGGGAGTGCTAGAAAAAGTGGAATACACCACTGGCAAGAATCTTCTCCATTCCATTACTTCACAAATCACTTCCTGAAATGACAAGTGCTACAGCAATCACACCTCTAACACATAATGCAGTGGAGAGAGAGGCTTGCAGGACAGAACATCTGACTTCTTCGCTGAGAATTGAATCTGGGGAGCTGTGGTTCTCCATATTTAAAAGATGCTTCCTCCATTGCAAGGTCATGAAAATACAATGGACAATGAGAAGAAGGAAAGAGCAGAGAAATATTCAGGGATAAATAAGAAACATGGATAAAGCCTAACAAGAACAAATTATTCTGACCCATGTACTGACTATTTAGGTGCATGTACAATTTGTATTTGAAAACGTCTTCTATCTAGGATGACTCTTCATGTTTCTTTTTGATTCCTTGGAGCAAATTCTTAGCAGGAAAATACTCAAGCCAGGTACTCGTACAATAAACCCAAAAGGCCATACCTTGTGATGCAGAAATTTCTTTTGTGTGACTGGAATACTGGATCCTTGTGGGCATTCCTTGGTAAAGGTATATTTTGGATGAGGACAAAGATGATATTCAATATTTGTTTCAGAATAGGCCAAAGGAGGTAAAACTGGAACTAATCCTGGAGTAGGGTTCTAAAAACAAAGAAGAGATTATTTTGAAAAATAATTCTGAGCACCATAAAGAACTAAATGGATGAAAATTCAGTTCTTACAATTAATGTAGTCTCCCCAGATTCACACCTTTGTGTCATTGTGACTGTTCTGTTCGATGTGACCCATTTCTTCCCCTCATCACAGACCCATAATCTGCCTGGCTCTCTGCTGTCTAAAATACAGCAATTTAAGTGTTGTTTCCAAGTTTGGAAGAAAGAACTATTGCCTGATTACTCAAAAATCCATTGCTGAATCTCTGGACACCTCAGAATCCAAGAATGCGAACTGGCCTTGCTGTGGTGGAAGCTAGTGAGCATTTTGCCACCTATTTCACTGCACCAGCATCTGTTTCTGAATAAAGTCTAATGCTGGGTAGTGTGGGATCAGGCTGTGCCTGGCTCTTACATTGCCATGACAGAGGCATGAAAGATATACACAGAGGATCTCATCAGTAAGTTCACCGGAATCCTGGTCATATGCAGTGAGGACAAATCTATACTACATATGTTATGCTAAGACCACCAGACTAGCACACTGGACTCTGGGCATTGCAGCTAAGTAATGCTGAAAGACAGAGCCACCCAAGTCAGGCACGGTGCCATGCTGGCTTGGAGATGCTGCCTGTACCCACGCGCAGCACTTCACTGAGCTAACATCTGTCTCTGCCTGCTCAGAGACACCTCAGGGACCTCCAGGCTGTGCAGCACTGCGTGGAAAATACCTTCTGTTGTTGGTGCCAAGTAGCACAATCTACATGACAATTAAGTAACATAAAATCTTCCTATGCATGTGGTTGTGATTTTTTGAATCTCTGTGCTTAATAATTTGGAAATGTGGTTTTGGGATGCTATGTGAACTGCTGGAAACTCTAAGGCAGCAGGACATGATGTGAGCACAGAGATTGACTTCTCTTTTCGCAGTTTACCTAAGGATCAGGCAGAACTGCATTTCCCTAGCTGAACAGAAGGGAAAGACTGCACCTGTCCCACCTACCTGGGCAAGAGCATGAGGTTATAGGATTGTTACGCCAAGATCATGGCTTTACTTCTAACATCCATATGGGGAAACAAACAGAGAAGAAGGGAGGGGCCCTGTGGTGTTCCAGGGAATCCTGGGATCAGTGACCATTTGTGGAGTGTAAGACTGGAAGGGTGTCCAGTTCTCTGCCATCACTGGCAACTTTGCCTTATCATCCCTTGCCTAAACTGATCAAATTCCCCCTTAAAGTGAAATGGTGCCTTTTTCAGTGGGATAAGCTCTGTGACTCCTACATACCAGGGCTTGCACCTTGAAGGATTATTCTCACTCTGGATAGTCATATATACCAATCTTAGTAAGAGAATTGCCCACCGATTCCACATCAGGCTTCTGATTAAAGAAACGCATTTTCCCCTCCTTTCTTAAACTCTTTCTGGAAGTCAACTTCTACTTACAAAAATGCGAAGTGGGTTGCTCTCTGTAGGGTAGACTAAAGCTTGGGGAGGAACCAGTTTTAAGAGGCTGATATTCCTTTCTGCTGCTTCTTCTGGGGATGTTTTGTGAAAATCCACACTCTGGGAGATCAGGTTAAGTTGCCCCTCTGGGGAAGAAACTACTTGAACCAACTCATCCTTGAAAAACACAGACATCAAAGGTTTTCAGAGTGTAGTAAGCCTTTTAGTATAAAATGTTGAGACAAAAATAATCAAATAATTGTAGAAATGTAGAATTGGGAGTGACTTCAGCAAAATTTGTACTTGAAATTACTTGTTACCTGGGCTCCCTGCCTCAGTGGTCGGGAAAGTTTTCGAGGTTTGTAACTTGTGGCTGCATGGTGTGTACAAAATGGCTGATACTTCATAATGCTGAAATGCTGAGGAACCTAAGTATAAAAGAAAAAGCGGTGTGCTGCAGGAAAATACAACAATCACTTTTGATTAACTTATAGATGGAATGGAACATGGTAAAAGATACTTGGATCACTACTCTGGAACAGGGTATACAACCAAAACTTTGAGAAGCCACACTGCACCAAGACAAGCTGAATGAATCCATAAAGGAGTATTTCCATTCATTTTTCTATGAAAGATAATGGATTTAACAGTTTCTTGATCAAATATATTGAATTTAACGGGGTGGAGAGAAGCTATGTTAAGTAATATATGTAACATTGCTAGATGAACCAATGTGTAATAAGGGGGAAAGATACTACAAGTTGTTACACCACCTGAAAAAAAAAAGAAGTGGACATTGAGCCAAAATCTATATTGATTTGAACCCGAGGAAATATTTTACTTTGATGGGGTGCAGAATTTGATTTTTTGCTATTCAGAAACTGGAAAGAAAATGGTTTAGAAGTCAGGAGAACAAGATGTTTCTGTACTCATAAAGTTGAAAAAACATTATATATTTCAAGAATGAGATGTTTGCATTTCCTATGCAGGAATGAAGGAACTAAGCATGTAGAACTGGATACCAAATAAACAGATGACTTCCACTACTTTCTAAAAGGAAGGACACTTTTATAATGTCACTTCTATAAAAATCAAAGGAAAAACTGTGTGGCATGCAGGGCTTGCAGTATCCTCATTCAGAGAAGGATTTTGTTGTTTGACATAAAATCATTTCAGCTGAGGTGATTCATCTCTCTCTCTGGAGAGAGGGGACTATTGCTGACTATAAGCTTATTCCTTATGGAAACAGGTAAGATTTGTTTTTAATAAAAGCATGCTGATCACACAGCCATATTAAGGTAACATTTCTACTGGGCTGCACAATGGAGTCACTGAATCAGGCAGGAAACATATTTAACTGGAAGACAGAAACATGATACAGCTGAGGGAGCTGTACTGACTCACCTTCAAGTCATAAAAAGGAAGAATGTGTCTGACTTTCACATCTACAGGTTCGATAGGAACTAGGCCAAGAGCATCAGGTGCCTGAAAGAAAACCATATTTAAAACCCAGTAATATGGTGTGCATTTTGTTTTTCATTGGCAGCAATCCATCAGCACAGCTACTTGAAAACATATGGAACAGCTACTTGAAAACGTATGGAAATAATTATGCAAACATTTTGTTTGATATTTCTCCTGTCCTTTCTTGGACTTTGGCATTCCAGTTACTTTTCATTTATTTTCTTCCGCAAAATCATGGATGTTAACTAACTCTGATCATTAATGTATTACTCAGAATTTTAGAATGCAATTAAGAGAATGCAAAGATAATTTTTTTTATCATTTTCAGCAGCACCCTTAGCATATCTGAAGTCCTAATTAATTTGTGGGAACCCCAGAACATCAGTCACATTGTGAAATTTTAATAAAGGCAGTACCAGGCCTGGGGCCAATGACTTCAACAAAATTCTGTCTTGAGTGTTGGCCACCATTTTAGTTACTATACCTACCAAATCACGGTGAAATTCACAGGAACTGGAAAAGGGGAGTTCAAAAGGCAATATACGATCTTCAGATATCCTGGAAGAAATGCCCTTACATTCTTCACTTCTCTCTGGTTTGCTGAAACTCCTGCTTTCTATCATGAATGGAAAGCAAATACTAAGATTTTGTAATATATCGTAATACACTGTTTCAAAAATAGAATCAAACCACAAAATATATTTAACATCTTCCTAAGGCAGGTTGTGTTTAGTCATTTAATATAAAAAGTAGGGTAATATTTCCTAAAGGCTTTAAATGCCACATCTACAAGACAGCAGGCACAATACCTTGACTAGCAGACAGATCTAATTTCCTCTTTTCTAAAATGACATTACAGCCCCCTCATTCCAGCGTGGTCCTCTATCTCATTCCGATCAGCAAGGCAGAGACAAGTCAGAAGACCTCTCTTACACTAACTGCCTTCTACTTGAAGCACCCCTGCAGCTCCTGCAAACTGGGAGTTAAAACTGCCTATTTGCAGAAGCAGCAAAAAGCCGGATATGGAAATGTGTTTCAGCAGTTGTCAAATTGGGTGTGTATGAGGGAGTGGGAAATAAGAGACACAAATTCTCTTCTGTCCCCAGTATACCCAGTTGTGACTCTCATCCAAGGCCAGTTTCCTTCTATGACTGTTAAAGTGGCTTTTCCGGGCCAGTACTTTCATGTCACTGTAAAGAAAAGTGATTTCTTGAAAGCACTTGTATGAGAAAATGATAAGGAGGAAAACTCAACCCAGTACCGGACACCTAGCCATGTATCTCATGGTTCCTACCATCCTACCATTTCACTCAATTCAGATATCTTGCCTTCATCACACTCAGGTGTCTTTCCCTCTTCCATCCCCATGCGATAAGCTCCTCCTATCCGATGTCTTTAACCTCTTGGGCACCACCTGATCTGTTTACCTACCTGTGTTTTTCATATAGTCCCATCTGCCCTTTCCTTGTTCCTCAGGCCTATAAGTAGAATCATAGAATGGTTTGGGTTGGAAGGCACCTTTAAAGATTATCTAGTCCAACCCTTCTGACAGGGCAGAGACATCTATCACTAGATCAGGTTGCTCAAAGCCCCATCCAACCTGACCTTGAACACTTCCAATGATGGAGCATTCACAACTTTTGCTCCGTTATTAAGTAGATAAGCTGCAGGGCTCCTAAGAAGAATTAATCACACTTTTTAAAATCTGGCAAATAATGTGCATGAAAAATAGATGTATTTTGACTATAGCCATTTCTACCCTGTCATACTTCTCTTTTTGCTTGAAGACTCCTTTGTAGGGACTCTGTCTCTACATTTACATGTCAGTATATATGTAACGCACCTGACACACTGCAGTACATCCTGAATTATCATCATTCATGGCCAAAATATCAATTTGTTCTACTCCTTACCAGACACAGAGCCTTCCTCCAAACCTTTGGCTTCTCTGGTTAGCCCACGGAACAGAAGCAGTAAGCGATTTAGCCGAATCTGAACCACAATCTGAGAGAATGATTTTAAAGTTTTATATTAAGCCGAACACTCTACGATTTACAGCCATAGACATATAGGTACATTACAACTGTATTTATTCTACAGCGCTCACTCATACATCTCTATTCTCTATTTCAGAATTTTTACTATAGTATTCTGTTCAGGAGGGAGAAAATGGGGAAGGAGAGATGTAGAACTGATCTCAGCTCTACACTACGCTACACAACAAAAACAGTTCAAACCTTCATTTAGTCTTACACATTAATGAGACTTTTTTTTTTGCTAGGTCCTAATCCTTCTGCTGTGTCTGCTGGCATATACAGATTTAACAATGGGTAAACAGTCAGTTGATTAGGGCCACAATGAACACTTGTAGCTATATGAATGAGAAGAATAAGTAATAAGCTTCCAGACTGGGTGGGATCTTAGGAGGGCTAGTTCAACCTCCTGCTCCAAGCAAGGTCAGCAATGAGATCAGACCAGGTTGCTCAGGGTTTTATCCAGTCTGGTCTTCAAAACATCCAAGGATATAGACTGTACAACCTCTCTGGGCAACCTGCTGCAATGACTGACTGTCCTCATGATGAAAAAGGTTTTCCTTATATACAGTCTATACCTCTCTTATTTGAATTTATGCCCATTGCTTCCCATGTTCCCACCAAGAACTGTTGCAAAGATCCTGGCTCCATCATCAATAATGTCCTCAGAAGTGCTGGAAGGTGCTGCCCTCTCCCCCCACTTTCCCTCTCCAGGCTGAGTAAGTGTCTCCTCACAGAGTCTCCTCACAGAGTGCTCCAGAGCCTGACCATCTTGGTGGCTCTACAATGAACTCACTCCAGCTTATGTTCGTCTTGTACTAGGAGCCTAAAACTGGGCACGGTATCTGAGATGCATTTTGAAATCTCTTTTTTGTGCAAAAGTATTTTTTTAAAAAATCTAAATTCATCTGCATTTGTTTAGTATTGATTGCAATACTAAGCACCAGCAGAAGCACCAGCTGAATACAAAATTTACTCCAGATCCTTATTTCCTGGTGAAGTAGGGACATATTTATCAAAGAAATCCCTGGCTAGCTGTGAAGACTCCTTACATGCTCATTTGCGTGTTCTTTTGTGCCATTTCCAAGGCATCATGCCATCACTCTGCATTCTGGTTGTTCATGTTACCTTGTATGCTGCTTGTTGGAATTTCCTCAACATCCTGTTTCTGTTGTCCCAAGGGTCATTATGGAGCAAGTCAAATGTGGGATGGACACTTGGACACTGCATGGTGTTTTTTAAAAAAAGAAAAGGAAAAGAAAAAGGACACCCTTTTTACAACTAGACAAGGGAGGGATTTCCTCCAGCCCAAGCCATTCCTTGGCCTGAATCCATATGTTATTTCCAAACACTAAGTCAAATTAAAACATTAAGTCAAATGAAAACATTCACAGTACTGGCATTTAACCAGAAGCCTTCACTGCAGGGCTTAAGAGGAGGTAATCACCAAATATTTGTAGATGCAGTACAGGGAATGCAGAGATAAGGTAGCATGGTCTGCATCCACACATAAATGACAACCATATACTACGACTCAAATGCAATACATGTGCAATCAGATAGTGGAGAGAATGGACTAAGTCTCTACTGCGCACACACTTAATCCTGCACAGACCTGAAGTTGGAATAACTGTAAGGGCTCAAACCAGAGGCCCAACAAAACCAATATCCTGTCTCCAACAATGGCTGATAGCACATATGCACAGAAGGGTGAAAGACCAGAGTAAACTAAGTGATAATTCCCCAGAATAACCTCCCCACACCTAGTGATCTCTGGCTCTTGAGACAGAGGTGGTGTGTCCATATCTAACGCCTTAAATTGTTTTATTTGAATGCTCTTTGAACGAACACAAGTAAATTTGTTTCCTGATGCATTAATCTCCTCTTCAGTTTTCAATTGATGTGACAAAAGAATGTGGCACTAGAAGAAACTCCAGCGGCCCCAGAGTACAGTACCTCTCAAAAGGAGGGCAGCCACTCAACCAACATTTAGATTAGGAAGGTCCTCAGAACACCAACTCCACACAACCCCATGCCATGCGTCACCAAACAATTTTCAGCACTTTCTAACAGATGTAAGAATATAGTAAAAGACCAACTCCCACAGCTATTATGTTCCTCTAGAAGGCAGCAGCAAGGATCCTTTATGTTGCTAACATTCAAAGTTCCTTCAGTAGTGGGGTATCTATTAAACAAAGCTCCCAATAATGCTAGGAAATGGATCTTAGGAAGTACCTCACACCACAGAGAAGGACAAAAAAATCTAAGTACCAGAAAGGTTCCTGTCAATCTGACCTGCAGGTAAAGGTTGTAAATCTTGTAATACGCTTAACGTTATGTTTAGGCATGAGAAAGTTACTGCTGAGAGAACTTTCAGAAACAAGCAATGCGAATCTCAGGTTAGGCCTGCAGATTTCCACTTGTCTCTCATACTAGATCATCTACTGTACTAAAAGTAAAATGGGAAATAAGACACTGACACAGAAATGAGAATATTAGGAGGAAAAGTATTCGGTGCCAAATATCTATGGCTGTTTGTTAGCTTAGTAGGTGACAATAGCAGGTGATAATAACATATAAACAAACCTGGTCAGCAAACCGGGTAACACGTCTGAAAGTAACTTCTACTTCGTTCCTTTGAAACTCCTGTTCTATGATAGGATCTCCTCTT